ATTTTCCTGTTTTAAGCATAAATATAATCAAATTTAGTGCACTAAACAAAACAAAACATAACATATGTGGCAAATTTATACCCAATAAGACAAGGCTATTTAAATACAATATATCCTAATGCACTAGTGATGATCCAGTGTACTGTACATATACTAACCTCTCTTCCCTCTTTTCAGTGGATTATCGCTGAACTGGCCTGCTATACCTATTCCATGGTGGCAGTGCCTCTTTATGACACCTTGGGACCCGAGGCTCTTGTGTTCATCATTAATAGAGGTACTTCAGCCTGCTTGCTTGCATGCTTCATTAGAGGTGTTGGCCAGAGCAGCTTTAGTGATCACACCTGCTGAACTCTGCTGACTTATAATACTTCAGAAGATGATGACTTTATTGTTTTAGCGACCTCAGTAACCTTGCTACTTCTACCTCCACAGTTCAAGCTCCTTTGCTTACCTTTGCATAATCACATAACTCTTTCTATTTCTCTGACTAATGACCGATATTATAATTAAAGGAGAAGTGTGTCATTTTTTATGTTAAAAAATATGTCTCCTATTGCAGTTTAATATGCAGAGACAACTACTGTAATCTATTCTTTGATTGGTTTTGTGAAATGTCAACTTCTGGCTCAGCCAATGAGATTGAGTTTAGGGCGGGACTATCTGTTTAATGGAAGTGGGGAGTTTTGTGGAAACCTGCTTGAAAAGATCCATTTTGTGCCACTGGTTGCAAATTGTAAATATTATCTTTAATTTTAATCATTAATTATGATATTGCTGTATTATTGCTACATATACACTATCATTCAAAAGTTTGGGGTGCGTATGATATTTTAATGTTTTTGAAAGTCCCTTATGCTCACCAAGGCTGCATTTATCTAATGAAAAGTAGATTAAAAGAAGTAACATTGTGAAATGTTACTACAATTTAAAATAAAGGTTTTGTTTTAATATCTTTTAAAATGTAAATATAATTTACTCCTGTGATGGCAAAGCTGAATTTTCAGCATCATTAC